AAAAACATTGTAGTATTATAAGTCATGAAAATGCCAAAAAACGTCATAGTATAGTATGGCGTAAAAAGTCAAAAAAACATCATACTATATTGCGGTATAGGAAGTAATAAAAACATCATAGTATGGCAAGGGATCAAGCAACATAGTATAGTAAGGCATAAAAATGCCAAAAAAACATTGTAGTATTATAAGTCATGAAAATGCCAAAAAACGTCATAGTATAGTATGGCGTAAAAAGTCAAAAAAACATCATACTATATTGCGGTATAGGAAGTAATAAAAACATCATAGTATGGCAAGGGATCAAGCAACATAGTATAGTAAGGCATAAAAATGCCAAAAAAACATTGTAGTATTATAAGTCATGAAAATGCCAAAAAACGTCATAGTATAGTATGGCGTAAAAAGTCAAAAAAACATCATACTATATTGCGGTATAGGAAGTAATAAAAACATCATAGTATGGCAAGGGATCAAGCAACATAGTATAGTAAGGCATAAAAATGCCAAAAAAACATTGTAGTATTATAAGTCATGAAAATGCCAAAAAACGTCATAGTATAGTATGGCGTAAAAAGTCAAAAAAACATCATACTATATTGCGGTATAGGAAGTAATAAAAACATCATAGTATGGCAAGGGATCAAGCAACATAGTATAGTAAGGCATAAAAATGCCAAAAAAACATTGTAGTATTATAAGTCATGAAAATGCCAAAAAACGTCATAGTATAGTATGGCGTAAAAAGTCAAAAAAACATCATACTATATTGCGGTATAGGAAGTAATAAAAACATCATAGTATGGCAAGGGATCAAGCAACATAGTATAGTAAGGCATAAAAATGCCAAAAAAACATTGTAGTATTATAAGTCATGAAAATGCCAAAAAACGTCATAGTATAGTATGGCGTAAAAAGTCAAAAAAACATCATACTATATTGCGGTATAGGAAGTAATAAAAACATCATAGTATGGCAAGGGATCAAGCAACATAGTATAGTAAGGCATAAAAATGCCAAAAAAACATTGTAGTATTATAAGTCATGAAAATGCCAAAAAACGTCATAGTATAGTATGGCGTAAAAAGTCAAAAAAACATCATACTATATTGCGGTATAGGAAGTAATAAAAACATCATAGTATGGCAAGGGATCAAGCAACATAGTATAGTAAGGCATAAAAATGCCAAAAAAACATTGTAGTATTATAAGTCATGAAAATGCCAAAAAACGTCATAGTATAGTATGGCGTAAAAAGTCAAAAAAACATCATACTATATTGCGGTATAGGAAGTAATAAAAACATCATAGTATGGCAAGGGATCAAGCAACATAGTATAGTAAGGCATAAAAATGCCAAAAAAACATTGTAGTATTATAAGTCATGAAAATGCCAAAAAACGTCATAGTATAGTATGGCGTAAAAAGTCAAAAAAACATCATACTATATTGCGGTATAGGAAGTAATAAAAACATCATAGTATGGCAAGGGATCAAGCAACATAGTATAGTAAGGCATAAAAATGCCAAAAAAACATTGTAGTATTATAAGTCATGAAAATGCCAAAAAACGTCATAGTATAGTATGGCGTAAAAAGTCAAAAAAACATCTTTCGATATTAAGGTATAGAAAGTCATAAAAACATCATAGTATGGTAATGCATGTAATGTCATAGTATAGTAAGGCATAAAAATGCCAAAAAAACATCATAGTAAAGTATGGAATTAAAATTTCAAAAAATGTCATAGTATAGTATGGCATAAAAACAAAATAGTATAGCAAGGCATAACAAACAATATAGCACAGTAAGGCATGAAAACGTCACAGTATAGTGAGTTATAAAAACAACATAGTATAGTCAGTAGTATATTAGTCATAGTATAGTAAGGCATAAAAACGCCACAGTATGGCAAGGGATCAAACAACATAGTATAGTAAGGCATAAAAATGTAATAAAAACATCGTAGTATAGTAAGTCATGAAATTGCCAAAAAACGTCATAGTATAGTATGGCGTAAAAAGTCAAAAAAACATCATACTATATTGGGGTATAGAAAGTAATAAAAACATCATAGTATGGCAAGGGATCAAACAACATAGTATAGTAAGGCATAAAAATGCCAAAAAAACATCGTAGTATAGTAAGTCATGAAAATGCCAAAAAACGTCATAGTAAAGTATGGAATAAAATTTTCAAAAAATGTCATAGTATAGTATGGCATAAAAACAAAATAGTATAGCAAGGCATAACAAACAATATAGCACAGTAAGGCATGAAAACTTCACAGTATAGTGAGTTATAAAAACAACATAGTATAGTAAGGCATAAAAATGCCACAGTATGGCAAGGGATCAAACAACATAGTATAGTAAGGCATAAAAATGTAATAAAAACATCGTAGTATAGTAAGTCATGAAAATGCCAAAAAACGTCATAGTATAGTATGGCGTAAAACATAAAAAAAACATCATACTATATTGGGGTATAGAAAGTCATAAAAACATCATGGTATGGTAATGCATGAAATGTCATAGTATAGTAAGTAATAAAAATTCCAAAAAACATCAGAGTAAAGTATGGAATTAAAATTTAAAAAAATGTCATAGTATAGTATGGCATAAAAACAAAATAGTATAGCAAGGCATAACAAACAATATAGCACAGTAAGGCATGAAAATGTCATTGTATAGTGAGTTATAAAAACAACATTGTATAGCAAGGCATAACAGACAACATAGTATAGTAAGGCATGAAAACGTCATAGTATAGTGAGTTAGAAAAACAACATAGTATAGTAAGGCATGAAAGACAAAATAGTATAGTAAGGCATAAAACCAACATAGAACAGTAAGGCAAAAAAAACAACAGTATAGTAAGGCAAAAAAACTGTAAGGTATAGAACAACGGAGTATAGTAAGTCATAAAAATGCCAATAAACGTGATAGTATCGTGTGGCATAAAATGTCAAAAAAACATGATAGTATATTAAGGCATAAAAGGTCATAAAAAGGTCATAGTATGGTAAGGCATGAAATGTCATATAAACATCATACTATGCTAAGGCATAGACAACAGAGTACAATAAGTCATAAAAATTCCAAAAAACATCATAGTATAGTATGGCATAAAATTGTCAAAAAAAAAATCTTACTATACTAAGGTATAGAAAGTGAAAAAAGCATCATACTATGCTAATGCATGAAATGTCATAGTATATGGTAGTATGGTAATGCATGAAATGTCATGCCAAAAAACGTAAGTCATAAAAATACCAAAAAACGTCATAGTATTTTAATTTATAAAAACTTCATAGTTTATTAAGGCATGAAAACAACATAGAATAATCAAGCAAAAAACATCATAGTATAGCAAATTATAAAAACTTCATAGTATAGTAAGGCATAACAAACAATATAGTATAGTGAGGCATGAAAACGTCACAGTATAGTGAGTTATAAAAACAACATAGAATAGTCAGGCAAAAAACAAAATAGTATAGCAAGGCACAGAAAACGTCATTGTATAGTAAGGCATAAAATGTAATAAAAACATCATACTATGCTAAGGCATGGACAACAGAGTATAATAAGTCATAAAAATGCCAAAAAAACATCATAGTATAGTAAGTCATAAAAATGCCAAAAAACGTCATAGTATAGTATGGCATAAAAACAAAATAGTATAGCAAGGCATTAAAAATGTCATTGTATAGTAAGGCATAAAAGACAACATAGTATAGTAAGGCATAAAACCAACATAGAATAATAAGGCAAGAAAACCACATAGTATATTAAGGCATAAAAACGTCCTTGTATATTAAGGCATAAAAGACATCATAGTATAGTAAGGGATAAAAAACGTCACAGTATAGTATGGCATAAAAACAAAATAGTATAGCTAGGCATTAAAAATGTCATTGTATAGTAAGGCATAAAAAACTTCATAGTATAGTAAGGCATAAAAACTAAATAGTATAGTAAGGCAAGCAAACGTCATAGTACAAGTGAGGTATAAAAAATGAAATAGTACAGTAAGGCATAAAAACGACAGAATAGTAAGGCATAAAAATGTCACAGTATAATAAGTTTTAAAAACTTCATAGTATAGTAAGGCATAAAAAACTTCATAGTATAGTAAGGCATAAAAACTAAATAGTATAGTAAGGCAAGCAAACGTCATAGTACAAGTGAGGTATAAAAAATGAAATAGTACAGTAAGGCATAAAAACGACAGAATAGTAAGGCATAAAAATGTCACAGTATAATAAGTTTTAAAAACTTCATAGTATCGTAAGGCATAGAAACAAAATAATATAGCAAGGCATAAAAAACGACATAATATAGTGAGGTTTTTAAAACAGCATAGTAAAGTAATGCATAAAAACAACATAGAACAGTAAGGCACAAAAAACGACATAGTATAGTTAAGTATAAAAAATCATAGTGAGGCATAAAAACAACATTGTGTATTTATTTCCAACAATATCTATTCTGTTTTTGCCTGCTATGAGTAACTGATGGTTATATTTAACCTATGTATAAATTGAAATCATCCTTTCTTAGGAGGTGTGACTCTGTTTTGGAGAAACTTTACTGGAATTGTAGGAATACTACATTGAATTTGTCACTGTACTTATCTTCCCTGTGTTATTAAGTTCATCAAGGAAAAGTGGTTAGGAAAGTAGATTTTTTTGAGTGCAGCCTATGTATGTAGCCTGAATGGAAACAGTACCTGAGAGGCAAAGCACAGGGTGAAAAATGGATCAAAATCTTTGCTCAGTGTTGATGACTTGAGTTTCTCCGCCATCTCCAGAAGTTATGCCCTTAAATAACCCAAAATGTCACATCTTTGTGTCCATGAAACATAATCCACATTTTGGAAATTATTCTCAATTCTCAAAATATTGTTGTGAGAGAATCGATGCAATGAAATATAATGCCAAGTTAGAAATTGGCACAGATCTCTAATAATGTGACCACCTTTCTGCTCTGACAGTGCTCGGTACGGCCACTGGCACAAGAATAAGACACCTGGAGAATACCGCACCGGTCCACGTGTCATGGTCTTTGTCATCGGTGGCGTGTCCTTCAGTGAGATGCGCTGCGCCTATGAGGTCACACAGGCCAATGGGAAATGGGAAGCCGTCATTGGTGAGTAATCTAACAGGGGGCACCACTGAGGGCAGGCTGAGAACAAGAGAAGGGTTAATGTGTAGGTGGAGGACATGGCTACTCAAAGATACACTCACCACGACCTTGAACACAGAGTGGACGTGTCTCTGAGTGGACATGCTGATAAAAGCTGTGTCCTAATTCAGGGGCGACGTTTTCTGAAGCATTTTCAGAGGACTGTGTGAGGCTGGAGCAGCAGGTATAAGGCCAGTCTGGCTTTCAGGTCCTCTGAAGGCGACAGAAGGACACAGCTTCTGAACTGGAACACAGCTACCAAAATAAAGGCGGATGGAAGGAAAACATGAAGGGAGTCAACCACAGGAAGTGAAGTGAATGGACAGTGTGACCCTGAGGTAGAGGTGTAAATTAACTGATTGCGCAAAAGGAAAAGGGAATCAGTTTTTTTCACAAAGCATGGGGTGAAATCAGTTGACTTTTTGAAAATATAATAAGAGTTTTTAATGAATTGTTTCTGGCATTTGTTGAAGGAGGTGAAAAGATGAATATTCATCATTTATATTTTTAGAAAATTTTAGATAAAAGGTGACAATCTCAGACAAAACCAGTAATATCTCACAGCGCTGACACACAGAACCAATACAAGATTGATTTGTGTTTGATATTTCAGGTTTACATTTACTTTGGCGTTGACTTTAACTCAATACACTTTCACTTTTTCAAACATAAAATAACAAATTGGGATTTAAGGTTCAGGTTTTGTAAACAGCACAGCTCATGAAGGACAGAATAATTTCCTTTCTGACTTTCATGCACCCAGACACTGAATCCCACATCACACATCATGGCCACAACAGCTTCACAACAGTTACACTGAAGCAGTTTAAGTGTAAGCTGGTGGAGGGTTTTCAGAACGTCTAGCTGCACATACTGTAGTTGTTACAACCTACCTATTGTGTGCAATGTGAATGTAAATAGCCCTTTATGTTATGCCCCTCTGTATTGTTTATTTGATGTCTTAAAGCTTTGCCAGTCAGTCTGTGTTATAAATGGGAAAGTGTGTTGTTAGTTTCTGTTGTGCTCTGCTTCTGCTGTTGTCTTTAAAAACAACTGTTGTCTTTAAATTGCAGCCACGCCATGTCTTTTTCTGTGTCTGTGCGTACCAGTTTTTTTATGTTTGTGCAACATGCCAAGTGTGTGTGTGTGTGTGTGTGTGTGTGTGTGTGTGTGTGTGTGTGTGTAAGTGTGTAAGTGTGTCTCTGTGTGTATGTATGACAGGTTGCTTGTTTTAACCCTTTTGTTTTTGGAGTGAGTGGGGGAGGGGGCGTGGCATGTGCTGAGAGACGAGTGGTGAAGCCGCCTCTGTTCCTCCACAGGTGCCACCCACATGCTCACCCCCACCAAATTCTTATCGGACCTGCAGCACCCCGACTTCCGAGAGTCCACTAGGGTGTCCTTTGAGGACGCAGACCCCTCAGACGAGTGAGGCAGAGACAGATTGGGAGGGAGGGAGAGAGAAATCACACTGAAAAAAGTAAAGGCAGCCGCACAAAGAAGCCCTTTCTGAACTTCAACAGCACAAGGGCTTCCACCTTGTTCCTTTTTCTTCTTTGAACACTCAGTATTGTTTTTTATGTAACTCCACCCTCCTCCTCCCTGTGTCCCTCAGGGATGGGCACCCCCAACCTTTCCCCAGTGCATGGTCCTCTGCATCAGGCTCTGCTCTCTGTATACTGACAATTAGCCAACCAGAGTGGGAGTCCTGCTAGTCAATCAGCTGCTGGCGGGCTGAATCCAAATGTCCAGACTTCACTACAGAGTGGCGGACTTAATGTTCCGAATGTGAGACTGTGACACAATAAGAACATAAAACTTATAAATGTATAAAAAACACAAGTATGCTGAGAAGTTACTTGCAATATTTGAAACAGGACTTAACCATGTCATGTTGTAGAAATGTCTAAAGAAAGAGATACATACATACATACAAGATAAGATACATTGTTGAAAAATGTGATGCATAAAATCAGAGAAGTGCAAAAACCATCTTATCAGGATCTTATGTAGCCTTCCATTCAGGCAGCCTCGAAAACTTGACGTGATGATGGGTAGCATGTCACAGTGCATATGTCCGAAGTCCATGAGTTTCGTGTCTTCAAGTCTGGAGGGTGGACATTTGGATTCAGTCTAAGTGAAGTCTGTGCTGAGGAGGGGCCATGCCTGAGGGGGTTGTGACCCGATCCCTGCTGCCTCCTCCCATCATCTCAACTGGGTGGATTAAATCGCCCCTTGACGGTCACCCAAAGGCCATTTGAGCCTGCTGAACACTCACTCCAGATTTAATCTACCCCCGAGATCCATCTTTATCAGTTTTTAACCGTCTGATTATTTTTGTAATTAACCCTTTGCAAAAGACAATCCCCTTGATTTTGTTACTGGTTTCTTTCAGGGCAGGTCCTTGAGCTAATGCTAGATTTCAAAGAAGGATTCTCTCCTTTTGTTCTTTGTGTTTTGTTTTGTTTTCCTCGTTTGACAGAAGCTCAAGGTCAAGTGTGAAAAAAAAAAATTGTGTGGTCCATTTTCTAAGTCTCATCTAAATTGTTTTCTCTTGTGTGTGTATGACTTAAAACAACTGGAAAAAAAGGTTTTTGCCAGGATAATCTTTCCCAAATTCCATTTTTATCTTTTGTGATAACAAGTGGAAAAAAAGTTTAGGAAGGAGAAAAAACATTTTTATGATGTAAGTGTTTGTTGTTATAATACTCATTTTGGCCACAAGAGGCTGAAGTGTACCACTACCCCAGTCTTAAAAGTACTAATGTCAGTATAGCTAATGCCCTTTGCATACTATTATCAATGCTGTAAGCCTGCTAGCTAGCGAGTGAAAAACATCATTCATGGCTAACCAACAGCTACAGTCTAACAGGGACACTTCACCCCTTATGAGTAGGATGTTTTTCCAATAAAGAATAAAAAATCAAATCCTTATCAGTGGGAATAGGATAATTTAAAATATACGCACTTTGGATACATGTTAATTCTGGTAATCTAAATGTATATGGTTATCATTCATATTTATGATATAGAATTGGATGCTGTGTATTTATATGGCAGTTATAGTGCAATGCTTATTTTTAATCAGTCCTTCAGTTGACAGGTGAACCACAGTATAGCTAATGCTAATGGAAGATTAGCACAGGTCACCTGGCAAAACCTTTTTTTTTCACCTGTTCTTAAGACATAAACACAAGAGAGAAAACAATTCATATCAGACTTAGAAAAAGGATCACCAGAATTTTTTTTACTTGTTTCTCAGGGCTTCCATACAATCCTCTGACTCCATCCACGTCACTCTCTCTCAGCCCACCATCACATGCTCACATGGCTCATGGCTCGTCTGCAGAGGGTTCTGGATATTAATCACAGATCATCATGATGATATTTACAGGGTGCTGCTTACACACAGGGCAGTTTTTGTGGCAACGAAATGGAAAACAGTCAGACAACAGTAACTATTTCAGTGGTATTCAGATCAGTTGCCCATAAAGCTGCCTCTGTAATGTCTCTCTGCTGACACAGTCTGAGAATGTAGCATTGTTCCACCTGATATGCTTTAGCAACCTACCCAAAAATAAAGATGCCGCATATGTCAAACAGCTACCACTAATAACCACCCCCCCTTCCTACCATTTAGTGTAGAACACTCTTTATTTCCTCCAAAACTCATCCCTTACACACGGCAATCACACACAAGTTGTTTTTCAAGAACACAAAAACAGATATTGCATCCATACAAACCTGTGTTGTATTAGAAAGCAGTCAGAGAGCCCATACCTCTGCCAAGTCTATGTGTTGTCCTCACGATGCATTTTAGAGTTTATTTAAACTGCACTACACCTGCAAAACTTTGGCAACCATTTAAAAGGAAATGGTGTGGAATACAAAACAAGAACTGGAATTTGTTTAGATTTGATGAAGTGTGTAGTGTTGGAAAAAAAATCTTTTGAACCAAGTAGTGAAGGGACAAAAAAAAATATGTCTTTTATTGCTTTGATTCAGAAGTTAAAAACAAGAAATGTTCTCCATAAAAGTGTTTTATAAACGGCCACATGGTGGAGCTGTCTGCACCAAAAAAACAATTATTCCTCCCTTCACCAGATTTCATTAATTCTACACATAGTTTCTAAAAATCCTGCTAACAAACACAAGGTTGGGAATATTTTAAACATTTCCTCGGTGGATGTAGTAAATACTTGTAACACCTATTTCCACAACCATGACCACTTTGTTACACGTCTACTTTACACACATTGTCATTTAAAGTTGGATTCTCACCCATACAGACAGAATATTATAGTCCTGGGCATCCATCTCATACCTGACTAATCTGCTAAAGCGATATCATTTACAAACCAACTTTTGGTTTTATGATTTCCTCTGTAAGCAGCTCTCACATTAGGCAGTATGGCTGTTCCCCCACATACTGCCATATTCAGCACTTCCTGAGCAAAATGGCCATCACTTACTAAAACAACTCTTTGTTTTTGTTATGCTATTTTGGTCCAAACCCAGCCATGTACAGTTATTTAGTGGCGTTGGAGATCAACATCAGAGTGTTGTGTTTCTGGGGCTGAAAGGCCCACGAAGCTGTGTGTTTTGGGGAACAGCAGAGAAGCAGGTGAGGCCAGTCTGACACTGACTTCTGTGACTCACACTAAACCCCACCCACCCACCCACCCAAGATCCCTGACACCCACGACCCCTGCATCACCATAATGACCCAACTCGAGATGGACTTGCCTCTTTCTCTTCTGTTTTTACCTTCAACTACTTCCACTTCCTCTTCAAGTTTAGTTTTAATAGTAGGTTGAATGTCTATGAGGTAAAGCTAATCAGACCAAACTGGAAGAAACATGCAGCTTTGCAACAGAAACAAACCAATGTAGGACAAATACTGTTGATGCTGAACAGGTGTGTGTGGAGTAAATCAAATAGTCTGTTTGCTTTCTCTATGATCAAGAATCAAGATGGCAGCTGTCCATCTGTAAATCTGGTAAAGAAGTGACAAACAAATTGGGCAAAATGTTTGATTTACTCCAGTCAGCGCCTTTCAAGTTTTACAATGTTTGAAATGTGTCTTCAGCTGTCACGAGAGTTCATCCCTGTCTTATTAAAGTTACTGAGTTTCACATTTTCATTCATATTAATGGCAGACAATAGACCTAACTCTCGGGTTTGGGATTTCATGACATGTAGAGAAGATCTGCTTTTGTCTTTTTTGCTTTTTCTACCAGTATTTTTCCAGCTTCCTGCATGCTCTTTAATTAAAGGCTTACATGGTCATGTGCGCATTTTTCTAACATCTGATTGGCTGTGCTGTGTAGACAGGTTTGGTGTCGCAGGTTTTTCTTCTAACCTCACCTGCCGCTTTCAGCTCACAGAGTCATGTCAGTTGTGTGGCACCATCACTGATCTGTGTGCTTCCATAATGTTCAGCTGCATCTGATTTAACACAGCCTCATGAGTTTCAGTATCAACTCTATGACTGTAGGGTGGAGACGTATTAGTCAGTAGTGGAAGGAGTTAATATGGTACTTTATACAGGCAAAGAAAAATCTAAACAAAGCAAAAGATGGATAGACAATCAGAGATAAAACGAGAACCCCCAAATTTAGGCATATGAGTTTTTCCACTCTGTCCAGTCAGTCTTGCAGAGGTCATATCTCTAGTTTTGGGGGATTTCTTGCTGTCAGGTCAGTTAAAGTAGTACATATTCCTCTACAGGTTAACACAGTGCTGTAAAATAAAGTCTAAAATCATTTGAGGCAGTTTTGAGGATGTTTTAAATTTCAGTATTGGTAGATTTTTACCAGACAGCAGTGACAAGCTGTTTTAAGATGCAAGATCTCAATCTGCAGAGTAACCAGGGACTGCAGCTATAAGACATAACATTATGTGAGACTGTCCTCATCTACAATAGGCATTCATAGCAAGAGCTGAAAACACATTTTGTCATCTGTTTCTTTCCAAACGTGCAGATCTAACGCTCTCTGTGTGTGTGTGTGTGTGTTTGTGTGTGTGTGTGTGTTTGCGTGCGTGTGTGCTTGCGTGTGCGTGTCCCCAGGATCGACCCACATCTTCACCCCCACCAGCCTGCTGGAGCAGCTCAAGGCCATGAACAAACCAGACGAGGAAGTGACAAGCTAAAATCTTCCAATCACATCTCTCTCCTCCTTAACCTTAACCCACACCCCTCCTCTACCCATGTTACCTCCATAACCCCCTCCGCCCACCCCACCCTATCCATTAATTGTGTATGCATCTTGCTTGAAAAGAAAAAAAGACAGATGATTAAAAAAAAATATATGTTGTATCAAAGAATAAAATTGTTGCAAGTATTCTCATGTTTTACAATGGATGCAACTAAATGAACTTATTTAAAAAGGTTTAAATATCAGAACAGAAGGCCATTTAGAACTGAAAGTACCAAAATGTAATATTGTATGCTATGAAACCTGCTAGAATGTGTAAGAGGTAGACATTTTCTCTTGTTTTCCTTTGGATTACCTCCTTGGTGTGAGTTTTATTGGAAGCAGGTGGAGGAGGGATGTGCAGTTTGAGAGGTTGATGTTGTAAAATATATCATATCAGTCAACATGCAATATACATATATATATAAATATATTTCATCAGAGAAGAGTCGCCCCCTGCCCATTTGAGATGTGCATATTCAGTAGCATGCTTGGACTTGTGTGGACTGTTAATGTGTTTGTATCCAGTGTGGATGTTCTGGGAGCTGCAGAGTTGGCGTTTAACCTTTTCCAAAGATGCTGAGATTGAATGCTCCACCGGAAACCTGTTTTCTAAGTATCAAGAAGTAGAAAAAACGTTCACTGAAACCTGTCTAATCACTCCTGAAGCATTATCCACGACTCATTCAGCAGCTGAAACTTGTTAACGGCGTGGGCGGTAACCATTGCTGTGTTGCACACAGACAATGGCATAACAGGCTACTGCTGTAGCAACAAACAGAATGTGTCTTTTTTCAGGCATATTTTGACGGAAATACAACTTTGTAAAATACTTAGCACATGTTTTGACAGATGGAGATGTGGACTATGCTATGGGAATGGTTTTATAAGTTCCTGTGGATGTTTTGATAGTTTTTTTTGCGGCGAAACCATCGTGTATTTAAGCTATCCTCAGCTGCCATGCTCAAGCTTTCCATCTTCTTCTACGGCTGGTGAGTGCTTGATACTCAAAACATAGTCAAAATAGTTGAATTTTCGGTGAAGTATTCATTTAAAATCACTTGGCAGAGCGGAAGACGAAAAGAGAAAGCTCTGTAAAAAAAAAAAAATAGCCCGAATCATCCCTCCTCCGGCTGCCGAGACTGTGAAGTATTTACCTGCCACAAATTTTTCCTTTCTCCGGAGAAACTTCACGTTTTAATGTCAAAGAGGCCGTTGCTTGCTGATATTTAAAGAATAATCTTAAAAAGGGCCAGTTGTATTTCAGTATTGTATCTGTCAGATTAAGTCTTATCTCATTGGTTAGTAATGATGTTTAATTGGGCCATGCACTGAGTAGTGTTGTGTATCTGCCATATGTTGCTGTTTTAGCGTCTCACTGTTGACTGGTGATATTTCTGACTGTGAAGTAGTGATACTTTTCCTTTTAAAATGCCAATGTGAAGCCGCCGTGTTTGTGATGTTTTAGCTGTAGCTGTTAGTGGTCAGCTGGGAAAAAGAACTATTATCTATATTTTCTTTGTCTGTTTCCTCCTCTGGTGCAATGTAAAACCCTCCAATGGTGAATGGCTTTGCAAAAAAAGAAAAAACAACAAAACTTTAACCCCCCCTTTTCACTTTTATTTCCTCCCTTCCCTCCCTCTTTCCTGGCCAAACAAGTTGTATATTGCACTATAATGCGTTTTCTGTGATGCAAACGCTTGACTTTGTGTTTATTTTTTTCTATTATAATTTGCTGTTGTATAGGGTTTACTCTGTTAAATCCATTGATTTATATCAAAATTATTTACCAGAGAAAAAATAATGATGATACATTAGTCTGTCCTGAAACTGTTTAACTTATTGGGATTGTTTGTTTGCCAGTGTTGAAGCACAAACAATACTTCCATGTGTACCTAATATGTACTAAGGCTGTCTAATAAATTGGCTTCCATTACATGAAGGACTCAACTCCTTTTTAAAAAAAAAAAAAAAGCAAAAAACAAGTAGTAGTTTCTTCAAAAAAATTAATCAAAAAGCAGTGACAGTAAATGCTCATTTCTACTTTTATTTGGCTCCGTAGACAACTGGAAAAAAACTCCCTGCAAATTATTGAAAAGACAAACAGTTTGAGAAATAATGGTACAAAGGTAAAAAAGGATTAGAAACTAACTAAAACAGAATTCACTTAATATATTCACCAGCTCTGTGGTATATTTTAACCAAATATAATAGACAATTTTATCTGTAAAAATAATCCTATGTCTTTGCAATCTCACCAGTGTGTAAATCTGGATCCAAACCAGCCTGGATGTCAAAAACCCTTCACCAACGCAGTGCTGGTATCTGATCCACATAAAGCTGGTCAGTTACAGTAGACTGGTTCCTCTGGCTCATGTACACTTGCAAGCTTATGATTAAACACTGTACAAAATATCATTCTAAACTCCACAATTTTGAACGTGTAGGCTATACATAGAAAATGACTTAACAACACGGAAGAAGAACTAATTTTAAGGATATCCAGCATCTCAGGTTTGTGTGGCCACGCAACTCTATTCATTATATTTTGGAGATTAAAAATGACAAGCAAGTTTCTATTAACAAAATAGATCCATGATGGTTCGTAATATGACCATCCAAAATGGAGCAGGTGCAGTGAGCGAGTGCATTTCATTTAGAGTGTAACATGTTACTGTATCAACAAGTACACAGTTTATACAGCAACTACAGTAACACTGAAATCCTGAACTTATTTTTTCTACAAACTAGAAAAATAGTCACATTAAAAATATAATCACATGATCAATAAATAGCTTAATATAACTGATTATTAACTCATGACAACTGCCATATCCAGACAGCTGTAATTTCTCATGTTAAGTAAAAAAACTAATGTCTTTACCTCATGGGTTTAAAAATCAATATGATCAACTTACTACAGTTTCAATCAAACTGAGCTACAGTACTACATCATTATAGAAAGTGATTTCCATGTATGCCAGCATCAGTGTCTTTATAAATAAATGTCTGCGGAAGAAACAAATTCATGTGTGCCGACCTGAGACTTAACTGTTGCCATAAAATGCCATTTAAAAATGAAGAGGCTTCAGCACCAGTTTTCCCCAAATGTACAAACTTAAGAAAAGTTACAATAAGGGGTATTGTAGACTTTTTATTCACTTTGGTCCTGCTTGTGTCTGCTGGTGATGTTCACAGCCTCATTCTGCAGCTGAAACGAAGCTGCTGAGTGAAAGTTTCTCAGTCTAAGCTGCCAGTAAAGTGAGTTCAGTCTAGCAGCTGTAGGACTGAGTCAGCAGCTCCTGGTACTGCAGTCCAGTAGCCAGAGAGCGAGCCATGTGTCTCGAGGTGTGCTTCATGTTTTGAGCTGCTTTGATTGCTCTGTTCAGAGAGGTGTCCAAGGTGTGCTGCTTATCAGTAGACAGGGAGCGTCTCATCCTCCCCCTCACCTCTTCGTGACCTCTGACCCCTGAGGATGTGCCAGTGCTGTTGCTAGGAGACACGTGGAGTGGCAGTGAGTACATCCTGTAGAGAGGGTAATGTTGATGACAAAAAAGAAAATGAGTGTAACAGTTTGGGTGAAACTATATATGTTATGTTTTCATAGTAGTGTTTGCAGTGTGTATAGAAGTACAACACATTAATTCATTTTTCTGTACAAACAGGAAATGAAAGCATATGTAGGCTGATGGATGTGAAACTACAAATCTGGGGGGCTACTGCCAGTTAAAATTTTACTAAAAGAAAGAAAAATGTGTTCCCAGAGAGACACTTGTGTTTGGAAATTATAACAATGGAGTGAATGACTAAACCAACAAAACAAATGCCATTAAGATTGTAGAGAGGCCAGTGGATGAAGTCTGCCTAATTAGCGCTGTGATAACCCTTTTCCATTTTCCTGGCATGTTGCCTCACTCTTCTCCTGCAGTTATGGGAGTTGGCTGGAAGGTGGAGCTTGGAGTGTGGCTAGTTAATACCGGCCCATTTGGGTAGGGCCTCCCAAAAGGCATAAAGGTCAGCCCCTCAGGTAGTCTCTCTAACTGTGCAGTGATGCACGCTATCAGCTGTGGTGGGGGTAGTCCACATTTTGACAGTTCGAGTAAGACAAGAGAGTCTGTGTTTCCTGTGCCTGCTTTTCCTTTGTCTGTGTCTTGCAGTGATCTTGTGAAAGAGCAATAAGCTGACCCCACTCTTCTGGCACTGTACAGCCAGGTTTTACCAGATGGCGAGGTGGAGAGTGCAGTCTGTGGTTACTTTCTACAAGATGACCTGTTGGTGAGTAGATGGGTTCCCCAGGGGTACTGTTTTTTAGGGGATGATTTTGTGCAAATAGTTCTGCCTTTTTCATTGCATCAAACTGTACTTCAGATTGCTCATGATTGTGTTGCCAGGTCATTTAGGTGTGAGAAAAACCTATGATAGAGTTTTGCGGCATTTTTACTGGCCATGTTTGAAAAGGGACGTTTCGGCTTTTATTAAAAATTTGCCACACGTCAGTTAACTGGGTTAACCTAATCAGGCGATTAAACCTACGCCTCTTTATCCCATTCCAGTTGCTGAGCACCCCTTTGAGCATTTGATCATTGATTGTGTTGGTTCCCTGCCATGCTCCAAAGCTGGTAGTAACTTTTTGCTTACTGTCATGTGCCAGGCTACGCACTATCCTGCTGTTTATCCCCTTAGAAACATCATGACCAAGTCAGTTATGAAAGCTCTGACACAGTTCATGTCTATTTTTGGTATCCCAAAGGTTGTCCAGTTTGACCAGGGATCTTGGTTTTAGTCCCAGTGACCTGGTTTTTGGTCACACGGTTCGAGGCCCCTTAGCAACCCTTCACAGTGACTGGCAAGCAAAGGAGGACCCAAAAAGTTTAATAGATTATGTAAATGGTTTCCGACAGCGGTTGTACCAGGCAAACAAAATGGTGCGATAAAACCTAGATGCAGCCCAAAGTAAAATAAAGTCTCTATAATCGGCGGGCAGAACAACATGAATACAGTCCTGTGTTATGTTACTGTATCATAATAACGAGACAGAGAGAGTGACTTTCTGTTAACAGTTTACTTCAGACTTCTTAGACGAGTACCCCTCGACGTCCTTCTGTAACCCCCACCTACCAATGACCCGCCTTCTGATTGGCTGAGGCATCAACATGCATATACTGTAACTGGTTAGATTAACCTTACACAACATCTCCCCCTTTTAAGTAAGAAACATTATTTCTCTTCAAACATTCTAAACCCATTCCTTTTTTTTTTTTTTTGAACATTGACAATTACAGTCCAGAACTCCTTTAAACTGTCTAATCACAAATCCAGTCTTTTAGGCAGACTTGAGTGTCTGCCTGAGCTTGTAACATATGTAGCATCTGGCTCCGCTGCAGGTTGGTCTGCACTATCTGAGTCAGTGTCCTCTCCGTTGGTTGGATCAGGAGGTGGGCGCTGGGTTGCTCGCAGGTGTGTACGGTTTGTCCTCAACAGCCCATCCTCTGTTCTGACGAGGTACGATCTCGGGGCAGCTGTCTGCTGTACGACTGTCCCGTGAGTGTTCTCTGTAGTGATCCATACACTCTGGCCTGGGTGAAACTCCGGTTGATTGTGTGTTCTGTGGCGTTTGTTGTAGTATTGCTCTTGTTTTTGTTTCCCTTGTGTCTCTGTGCTCCGGAGCTGTTTGATGTTTGGCTAGTGTGGACACAGCGTTTTAGGCACTTGAGGGAGTGTGGTTCTTAACTGTCTCCCCATGAGTAGCTGGGCTGGAGAGTATCCGTTCTCCAAAGGGGTGGCTCGGTAGCTGAGTAGCGCTGCTCGCTCAGCTTCGCCATTGGCTTGTGGGTATCGCGGGCTGCTGGTTGTGTGAGCAAAACCATACTCACTGGCAAAGTCTTTGAAGAGAGAAGAAGCGAACTGCGGCCCATTGTCTGACATTAGCACCACTGGAACTCCATGCCGGGCAAAGATGTTCTTCAGAGCCGATATGACTGTTTCGGCTGATGCAACATGGAGGTGCGCCACTTCAATATAGTGAGAGAAATAGTCTATCACTACAAGGTAGGTTTTCTTGTCCCAGATGAATAAATCCGTTCCAACGCGTTGCCACGGTCTCTCAGGTATAGGGGTTGTCAACAGAGGCTCCCTCTGTGTGGTCCTGTGTTCGATGCATATGGGACAATTTCCCACTTTTCTCTTTATTTCAGTTGAGAGCCCTGGCCACCAGACCGACTGACGGGCCCTGGCTCGGCACTTTCCTATCCCTTGGTGACCCTGGTGGAGGATGTCAAGCATGTCATCTCTTAAGGAGCTGGGGATGACAATCCTCTGTCCCTTTAAGAGAAGGTCTCCGGCCACAGACAGATAATTTCTCGTGCACCAGTAGGGTCCGATATCAGGTGGCAAGTGAGCTCTGTCAGGCCACTTTGTTTGACAGTACTGTCTCAATGTACTGCAGACAGTCATCTTTCTGCTTCTCTGCTAGCTGTTGCAGTCTTGCTTCAGTGGCTGGGAGAGACTGTCTGATGGATTCCACAAAGATTTGAACGTCTGCCTCCAGCTCTTCCTCTTCCTGTGTGGCTGTGTGACCCACTGGAGCTCGTGACAGTGTGTCTGCCGTGATGAGCTGCTTTCCTGGCACATGTACAATGTTGTATGTGAACTTCAACAGTCTTGACTGAAGAATTGTTAGGGGCTGTGTATATGAGGAGAGGTGAGGCAGGAACTTGCCCAGGTAGTTAGCCATGCCCATCACTCGTCTGACATCAGCAACGCAGGTGGGCTCTGGCATGTCCAGTATGGCTTTGACTTTGCCCGGGTCGGGTTTTACTCCTTCTGTCGAGAGGCTGTGTTCAAGAAACATGAGTTTGCTTTTGGCAAATTCACACTTTTCCTTGTTGAGGGTCAGCCCCTCCTTCCTAAGGAGGGGCTGACCCTGAATAAGGAAATACTAGAACTAGTTTTTATAGTCATCTGTCATGAAGTGGCGTTATTGCAGTCCAGGACCAAAAGAGGGCTCCAGTACAATTTGCATAGTATCTAAAATACGTAAATTTCAGTAAAAGGCGAAACATTTCCTTATGCATAAATATATTATTCTGCCTACTGTCGCTACTATTGGTTCATATTGCTGATTTATTATTGTTATGGTTGGTCATGAATAAAACCAGTGCAGTAGCGAGCAGGCAGAGTGGACATCGGTCAATCAAAAATGCGTATTTTGTTGTGAGCCAATTCCGGTGTGGTTAAAAAAAAAAAAAAAGTCAGGTCTCCAGCGGTTTCCTGGGTGGACGGTCAGACACTTTAGGTTGGAAAAAGTAAGAATTGCTCCAAAAGTTAATTATTGTGCGTTTGTTGGTTCGTGGTGGGTACGATATTTTTGTAAATTTGCCACTACACGTGTGACGGCTTTTCGGCAGTCGGGCCATGTGAAGGAAAAGCTAGCAAAAAAACAAGATAATGGTGAGGAAGATAACGGAACTTTGGTTAACGTCTTTGGAGTATAAAGTCTGAAGTGTCTGAGGTTACCGACTATTGGAAACAGAGTCACGGTAAGAAATATTTCTTAGGAGGTTTGTATCAGCTGTGACCTCTTGCTGAGGGATGTACCATGTATGGTGTTGAATGACGTGAGTTTTAGGTGAATACTTTCAGGCCCGAGTATTTTTAATGGTTGTGGTTTTAATTTCTGACAGTCATTTTGGCTGCTATATTGTACAGCCCAACGAACCCATGTAGCCGGCCGGGCCTAGCCCGAACCGGCTACATGGGTTCGTCTACCAATGGGCCCACCACCTGCAGGAAGAGTCAGCGGACACTGGGCAGCAGACCAAGGCAGGGGCCTTGGCGGTCCGATCCTCGGTTACAGAAACTGGTTTTTGGAACATGGAACGTCACCTCTCTGGCAGGGAAGCAGCGGGAGCTTGTGGAAGAGGTTTAACGATACCGGCTAGATATAGTCGGCCTCACCTCGACACATAGCGTCGGCTCCGGAACCCAAGTCCTTGAGAGGGGCTGGTCTTTCCTCTTTGCTGGAGTTGCTCCGGGGTGGGCTTTTTGGTCGCCCCCAGGCTCTCTGCCTGTATGTTGGGGTTTACCCCAGTGGACGAAAGGGTTGCGTCCCTGCGCCTCCGGGTCGGGCATCGGGTTCTGACTGTTGTTGGTGCTTATGCACCTAACAGCTGAGGCAAAAACTCGGGCGTGGGAGGAGTTCGGTGAGACTATGGAGGAAGACAATCGATCGGCTCCAAAGAGGTTCTGGCAACCCGTCCGGCGCCTCAGGGGGGAAGGCGGCAACTCGCTCACACTGTGTACAGTGGGGGCGGGGAGCTGCTGACGTCGACTGGGGATATAGTCGGACGGTGGAAGAAATACTTTGAGGAGCTCCTCAATCCCACCAACATGTATTCCGTGGAGGAAACAGAGCCAAGGGACCTGGGGATGGATGGTCTAATCTCCGGGGCAGATGTCGCCAAGGTAGTGAAACAACTGCGTGGTGGCGGAGCCCCGGGGGTTGATGAGATCCGCCCTGGGTATCTCAAGGCTCTGGATGTTGTAGGACTGTCTTGGTTGACACGCCTCTGCAACATTGCGTGGACATTGAGGGCAGTGCCTCTGGAGTGGCAAACCGGGGTGGTGGTCCCCATCTTTAAGAAGGGTGACCAGAGGGTGTGTTCCAACTACCGGGGAATTACACTCCTCAGCCTTCCTGGTAAGGTCTATGCCAGGGTACTGGAAAAGAGGGTCCGGTCGATAGTTGAACCTCAGATCGAGGAGGAGCGATGTGGTTTTCACCCTGGGCGTGGAACTGTGGACCAGCTCTTTACCCTCACTAGGGTGCTGGAGGGAGCATGGGAGTTTGCCAATCCAGTCCACGTGTTTTATGGATCTGGAGAAGGCTTACGACCGTGTCCCCAGGGGCTCCCTGTGGGGGGGGGCGCTCCGGGAGTATGGGGTGGATGGCCCCTTGCTAGCGGCCATCAAGTCCCTGTACCAAAGGAGTGTGAGTCTGGTCCGCGTAGCCGGCAGTAAGTCGGACCTGTTCCAAGTGAGGGTTGGACTCCGCCAGGGCTGCCCTTTGTCACCAGTTCTGTTCATAACTTTTATGGACAGAATTTCTAGGCGCAAGCGGGTGGTGGAGGGGTTTGGGTTCGGTGGCGGGAGGATCTCGTCTCTTCTTTTTGCGGATGATGTGGTCCTCTTAGCTTCATCGAGCACCGACCTTCAGCTCTCGCTAGGGTGGTTCGCGGCCGAGTGTGAAGCGGCTGGGATGAAGATCAGCACCTCCAAGTCTGAGGCCATGGTTCTCAGCCGGAAACGGGTGGATTGCCTGCTCCGGGTTGGGGGGGGTTGGGGGTCCTGCCTCAGGTGGAGGAGTTTAAGTATCTCGGGATCCTGTTCACGATTGAGGGTAGGATGGAGCGGGAGATCGACAGGCGGATTGGGGCGGTGTCAGCAGTGATGCGGGCGCTGAACCGGTCCGTTGTGGGGAAGAGGGAGCTAAGCCGGAAGGCGAAGCTCTCGATTTTCCGGTCGATCTACGTTCCGACCCTCACGTATGGTCATGAGCTTTGGGTAATGACCGAAAGAACGAGGTCGCAAATACAAGCGGCCGAAATTAGTTTCCTGCACAGGGTGGCCAGGCTCAGCCTTAGAGATAGGGTGAGGAGCTCGGAGTAGAACCGCTGCTCCTCCATGTTGAGAGGAGCCAGTTGAGGTGTTTCGGGCATGTCCAACCGGGAGGAGGCCTCGGGGCCGACCAAGGACACGCTGGAGGGATTGTATCTCTCGGCTGGCCTTGGAACGCCTCGGGATTCTCCCGGAAGAGCTGGTGGAAGTGGAAGTGGCTGGGGAGAGGGCTGTCTGGACCTCTTTGCTGAGGCTGCTGCCCCCACGACTTGGATCCGGATAAGCGGGAGACGACGAGTACGAGTCTCCAGACAAGCATGAACAGTTGGAAGCAGAGGTCAGGTACATGTTAGAGAACATTGCTGAGCCTTGTGCATCCAGTTGGTCTTTCCCGTGCTTGCTAGTAAAAAAGGCAGATGATATGTTTAGACCTTTTACTGATCTTAGGAAGGTGAACCAAGTAACCAAGCCTGACTCTTTTACACTCCCACGTATGGAGGATTGCATGGACCAGGTTGGCTTGGTGCAGTTTGTCAGTAAGTTTGACTTACTTAAAGGTCACTGGCAGGTTCCTTTGATGCTTCAAGCTAGGGAGATTGCAGCATTTATTACACCCAGTAGTTTGTATTCCTACAGTTATGCCATTTAGTTTACGTAATGCCACAGCTACCTTCCAGAACCTAATCAACAAGGTGGTGTCTGGATTGGTGGGCTGTGCTGTGTACTTGGATGATGTTGTGTTTTATAGCAACTCCTGGGAAGATCACCTTCACCGCATCTGGGCCCTGTTTGACCAGTTAGCCTGGGCATCGCTCACTATTAACCTGACAAAATGTCACCTACCTGGGTAAGGTAGTTGGCCAGGGGCAAGTGTGCCCAGTAAGGGCTAAGGTGTTAGCAATTGATCAGTTTCCCATGCCAACAATCAAGAAGGAACTTTCTCGGGGATGGTGGGTTACTACCGTGGGTTCTGTTCACACTCTTAGTCCAAAGTAGGGGTGGGCGATATGACGATATTAGATGGTGAAGGATTACAACGTGAAGATGTTCTTTCAAACTGCAGAGATCGTGTCTAGGGCACATCCTATAAATAGCAGTTCTATGCTGATGCACCAGACGTATTGACGTCGTCAAACTGACCGACCAATCATAGCGAATTACGGGCAGTGAGGCACTTTCCTACCCGCCTCCTTGTTTGTGTGTGTAGCAGTAGCACATGGAGAGCGATGGCTGAAAGCCAAACGGAGTTGGTCGCTAAAAAAATTCCACCTCCATTATATGGAATTGGTTTGGATTTTCTGCAACTGATGAAGTGCAAGCAAACGTAATGTGCAAAGTTTGCACAGAAACCAGGGGTAACACGACGAACCAGAATGTTATTTACCTTAAAGTTTACACATGCAGGCAAATCTGCTAAAAAGTTTCTTTGGTCTAAAAGCCAGCCAGCCAGCCAGCCAGCCAGCCAGCCAGCCAGCCAGCCAGCCAGCTCTGCAAAGTTTGCACAGAAACCAGGGGTAACACGACGAACCAGAATGTTATTTACCTTAAAGTTTACACATGCAGGCAAATCTGCTAAAAAGTTTCTTTGGTCTAAAAGCCAGCCAGCCAGCCAGCCAGCCAGCCAGCCAGCCAGCCAGCCAGCCAGCCAGCCAGCCAGCCAGCCAGCCAGCCAGCCAGCCAGCCAGCCAGCCAGCCAGCCAGCCGTGCTGTCTGTCTGCTGCTGCTGTCTGTCTGCTGCTGCTGTCTGTCTGTCTGTCTGCTTGCTGCTGTCTGTCTGCTGCTGCTGCCTCTCTTGTACTTTGTTGCATCTTACAACATACACTACACAATATAAATTGCAGTTCTATGCTGATGCACCAACGCACCAGTCATCTGACCGACCAATCATAGTGAATTACGGGCAGTGACGCGCTTTCCTACCCGCCTCCTTCTTTGTGTGTGTAGCGGTAGCACATGGAGAGCGATGGCTGAAAGCCAAACGGAGCAAAAAAAAATTCCACCTCCATTATATGGAATTGGTTTGGATTTTCCGCAACTGATCAAGCGCAAGCAAATGTAATTTGCAAAGTTTGCACAGAAACCGTTCGCACGTCGGGTGGTAACACGACGAACCTGTTTAATCACCTGAAGAGGAAGCACTAAAGCACTAGCAACTGTTGCACTAAAAGAGATAACCACAGTCACTTTAGTTTGTATTTTTGCGTTTAAATAAGCTATTTAGTGTTTTGATAAATAAATCCTGTTTAAATGACTGTCAGTAATGTCTGATTGATATTTTACTTTCTGTTACTAGTTTTGCAAGAGTGCACTTTATTAGGATATTGTTGTTGTTTACCTTAAACTTTACGTTGTTTGCACATGCAGGCAAACTGCAACTATTTGGAATAAAATCTGTTAAGAAAGGTTTTTGGGTATAAATTGTCTGTTTTTCTTTTTCCTATTTAAGATCGTGATAAAATTGAAATCGTGATATGATATTTTTGCCATATCGCCCACCCCTACTTACACACACCATTTGGTTGGTTACTTTGTTTATTCATTTGAGTTAAATAAATTGTTTCTTGATCTTAGTCTCTGTGTGTGGCCTCCCTTTTTGTTGCTGGCTTAGAGCCAGTCAGTAACAGCGCTTAGAGAGAGTAAGTGTGTGTATGTGGGCAAGTTACTTACAGGAGTGGTGGTGGGCACACTGGCATGCACTGCAGCAGTGCAGGTGGAGCTGCAGCATATCTGTTCCTCACCGCTCTGTCATGGGACTTGGCCGGTTGGCAGTTTGTGTGTGTAGGGGAGTCTGAGTCCCTGCGACAGTCTGTGAATCACAGCATGTCAGGAGCTCCATTAACACTTACATATTTAAAAATTATTTAATTTACTGCAGATCAAAATAATTCATGCGCTGAGCTCAGTGACTGCACAGTTCCTGATACCTGGGAGTATACAGAACGACAGAAAATTGTACACACAAAACTCATTCTCTGTAACAATGTGTCTGGGCAGCATCACATTAGACAAACCTGGCTTAGTGCTTTTGTACGGTTCAGGGCGTCCACAGTGAGGACAGTGAGAGGAGGAGTGGGTCGGCTCTCTGTTGCCACCACCTGGTCCTGACAGCACAAGACAGACAGAAGGAGGATTTAAGAAGGCTGATCAACAACTAAAGCAGGACAGTTAATAAGGAAAAAACAGCAGCTCTGGTTTCAAATGAATTAAAGACACACTTGGATTTTATCCTTTTTGCCTGAAGAAGAAAGTAAAGTTAGAAAAAACATAACAAAAGAAAAAACACAGATTTCCTGCTGAGGATGAAAGGAGCCTTCTTACGTTCAGATCGTCCTCTGTGACAAGACGAACACTCGAGACAAACAGGAGCTTGATGATTTCTGCTGTCAGGTTCATGTGCTATGTTAGGCACTTGTATAGACACGGCAGGATGCTGCCCTGCAAAACAAACACACACAAAGCTTAAGATACGTACAAATACACTCACTGGGGGGTAAACAGAATCTGTGATGGCAAATTCTGTGCTGGTGACAGTAGTTCAACACTATGTTTTTAATTAGTTTTGCAGCAAGAGAATACACATTATTTCTGTGTGAATATCTATGGAAATATAAAAGTGTCTTACATTTTGGGATTGAGACTGAATCAAGCAATAAGTCTTGTATATGAGCAATGATGAAGCTATTGTATGATTAATGTAGCAGTGTCTCTGCAAGCAAGCAAGAACAAAAGGGAAAACACTGCATTGCAATTAACTAAATTAAATTCCACAGTGTTTTGTCAGATAACAGTTGCTTGCTATTACTGAGGTCTCAAACATTTAAGTGCTCAAGCACATGTTTCCATTCTGAACTGCATGAAAAAGGGCACTGGTTTGTCCTGTTGATTAGAGCAATTGACTACAGCACAGCAGGTTATTCAGATCCTGTAACAACAACACTGACACTAAACTCCAACCTGCTCAGTCACTGCAGGCCGATCTGAATTGGACTATCAGCTAAAACATAGGGAGTTGGCTAAAAAGTCAGCTGGATTTCTGTTTGGCGGGAGGAAGCTGATAAATCACAATGTCTGCAGTGGAGGGAGAGCTGCACTTACTGGGGCGTGTTCTCTTGCTGTGGGTAGTATTTGTGTGTGAACAGGAGCTGTCTGGTGCTGCAGTGGATGTTTGAGTACATCTGGACACCCGAGGCCGAGACTGGGTTGTGGGGGTCTCCGGCTCTGAACCTGTCACAGAAAACACAAACATTACATGCATTAAATGTAATGTGTCCATGTACAAATCAAAGTGGTAATGTTTTCTGTACGTCTTCATCACTGTACGCACAACATTTTACTGAGTCCTTATGTGTTATTCTCTGTGTGTGTTAGACTCTTACGATAAAATGTGATGTGTTACCAGGTTAGGATAATAAAGTTATTGTTTACTCACCTTGACCTAGTTTACATGTGCTAGTAGTAAGATTTGTATAATAAATGATCGTTAAACCAAAGTTCTAAATTAAGGGTGAAATTTAATTCAGATCAACTTACAGATGTCACGTTGTGGTTTTTGTATGTCTACACAGGGTGATCTCTCTCTGGCTGTTCGTCTCATTCTAGACTCCTCTTCTACCAATCGTCTTTCTCTTCTTCCTCTGCTGACATCACTCTGACATCTCTCCTCAGGCCTGAGCAAAGGGAGGGCATCAATTAAGTACAAGCCAACAAGGAAAAAACATGTAATTAGTAAAGGAAAAACGTTCTCACTGCAGGCTTCTTTGTTAGAGCTATAAGCTTTGTCCCGTTGCTTCTTTCTGCAGACGAACTGTTACTGTGTGGAAGATAAAAACCAACCTGATGCGAGGTGTAGAGGTGAAGTGAGTGTAGTTAACTTGAGCTGAAGGAGCAGCTCTCATGGGACTGAAAGGTTTATTGCTCAGACAGCTTTCTAGTCTGTCCTTCAGTGTGGTGACCTCAGCCTGCAGTGTCTGGATCATATCACTAGAAACAAACACACAAAAGCAAAAACAAAAAATGTTTAAAGTCAAATGAAACTAATTGTTGGTAACTTTTGCATTTAGTACATATTACTTGGTTTTTCACAAACACACACATATTCAAGGTCAAACACTTTAAAGTCCAGTAAGTGTGAGCGCTGAAGTGCTGCACCCTGAAAATATTCAAGTGAACAGCCAGGTGATTTAAGCTATCAATTCAGGTGTCAGTCCAAATGTATATACACACACTCTTTGAAAAGTCATGCACCACCACACCATGCAGGAAAAATACACAGTACCTCCTAATATGCAACCACATTCAATAGCAGCAGATTCTGTAATAAAATATAGATGAGAAATAAGAATATGATAAAAGCATGAAGGATTTTCAGCATTTCATGGGCTAGGAAGTTTGATATCACAAGGTGAACTTCAGGAGTTAAGTCAACTCAGTTTCAGGAATTATTGTCTGAAATTCATTGATCAGAAATCATAATCCTAATTTGATCGACATGCTGAAACATGAAGTTTTCTTTCTCCCTGACTCAACAGAGAGCAGGAAGTGGAAGTTACAGTAGCTCTTCGCTGCGATGGTGTATTTTCTGGAACATTCTGTTGTCATACTGTGTGGTAACACGGCATGTTCACAACCAACTCCCATCCAAGAGTCTCTGCAGGGAGACATAAACCATGGCAGCAGCTGCCGCTACACACACTCACTTGCGATTCGCCAATTGTCTGAAGCCCATGGCTCTGAGAGAATCGCCATGGTGATACCATACAGTGGGTGAGGAGCTTGGGTGGGAGATGTGGAGGGAGGGAATGGATTCTGCGTATTGGTCACTCTGTCCATCATCAGACACAGTGTGAGCTGCAGAGCCAAGAGGAAGACAGGAGGGTAGATACACAATGAAAAAAAACACTAATCAAAAAGAGTATTTACATAGTAAGTGACTAACAGTTCTTAGTTTTGATTTCATATATTTAAAAGCTATTTATTTTTAGAAAACAACAGTTAGTTGAGTGACAGAACTTGGAGACTCACAACTGTCACTCTCCAGCCCAAACTCACTGGCTCCACTGTCGGCCCTGGTTTGCTCCATCTGACCGACCCAGCGCTGCGGGGCGCATGAGGAGGTGCGCCTACTCTGTCTGCTTCTGTTAGGCTGGTCGGGGCCGAACTGTGGGGCCCCTCTTGACTCCGTAGCTGTGCGACTGTGTGACCGTGAGGAAGCAGGAGATGGTGCTGAGACTGGACCTGTCTGATGTTTCCCTGTGTTCCCCTCCTGATGGACTGAAACACTGTTGCAACAAGGAAGAGTATTCAAGCATAAAACAAAAAAATACAAAAGGCCTGATCAGAAATGGGCTGAAAGACAGACATTGTGTGCATTGATGAAAAGAATGAATGAATAATAACAACCAGGCTTCAGAGCTGTAGGATCAAAAATCAGTGTGCTCGGTATGTGTATGTTACAGGGGTGGGGGTTGGGACATTATGTAAAATTTATAGTAGGGTTCATGTGAGGATGTAGAGAGGCAGTGTTGGACCTCCTCACCTCTGTGAGGCCCTCTGGTGGAGAGGACTGGGAGCTGCTGCAGGAGTCAGATTGCTGCTCTCTGAACCAACAAACCCACTGTCTGTCTCTGGAGAGATGATCCCATCCTGGTCAACACAACACAACAAAGATTATGCAAGACTGATCTACACAGGCTTTATATAGATTTGTTTCATACATTGTTTTCATTCATACTACACAGGTTTATTAGTGGAATCAAAAGGTTTTATTAATCACCAATCACCAGGTCACAGTTGCAGTTTTATAAAAGCAATTCAAAGGGTGGCTGTTATACTGATTTCAAGAAGGAATTGCTGAGCATACAGAAGTGCTTTTTGGATAATCAAATCATGAGATTATGTAAGTGTACACAGACTGCTGCTGTCAGCTTCTTGTCTAGTGGCTTGAAGTTACTTGGTAGCACAGTGTTTTGGTCTTTAAAACAACTCTTGTAGCCACCATAAAACTAATGATGTCAAATTTTCCACCCTTATCTTAATTAAGGTGTATCCAGGGGTGAAAAAAAATCCTGAGCCTGAACTTTTTTCCCTGGGAGGTAAGCGGGCCCCGAAGCTAAAATATATGCCCCGATCAACGCAATTGTCAAGCGGGATCCAGGGGTGTGCTCCCCTGGGACATTTTGATAAATAGTCCATTGAATTAAATATTCTGATGACTTTTGTGGATACAAATGTACATTATTCAGACATGAGATGAACAAACCCAATACAAGCCTATATTACAGTAGCATCTTTGTGTAGAGCACCAGAGCTCTTGGGACCCTGCATGGGCCTGGTAGGCCTGTTCAGTAATCCATCCCTGCTTTTAACTAGTCACTTACCTGCGTACTTATTGCTTGTATAGCATACTGAGACTACGGATACTACAGCCATACCAAGAAAGGTCAGTGGGTGACAACTATAATACTCAAAAGTAAACTAGGAATTGAATGAATGAATGAATGAATGAACATTGGATTTATATAGCGCTTTTCAAGATACCCAAAGCGCTTTTACAATGGAAGGGGGACCTCACTAACCACTTTTCACACTGCCTGCATCCTCGTCATAAAATCGGACAAGTACATTTAGAATTTTATCCATGCTTTTGTCCGTGGCCTCATCAATGTTGAGTGAAAACATGTTATTCTTAAGCTTGTCACAGATTTCTTTTAAATTCTGGTGAGATGCCGTGTGTAATAAGATAGCTTGCATGCTGCCTCGACACAGACAGATGCGTAAGGGCGAGTTTATCCTCCGCTAATTTCTGACACAAAGTGACGAGTGGACGAGCGATTGTAAACATGATAGATCATACTCGACAATGAAGGAGCACAAGCGAATTTTTAAATCAGCCACGCGATCGGTCATTGAGGGCCGGATATCTGCTGTGGCTGTTGCCCCCGGCAAACGTGAGGTATGTTGAATTGCTCGTAAAGCTGCTTGATGACTAGCGTCGAACTCGTGCCGTGGCAGCACTTTTTCCTGCTAGTTCCATATAATATTTTCCTTGCACACAAAGTGCAGAAACATGCTCCTGGTTGCCGGAGTTTTTGACACCAGCTTCCAAAGGGCTTTCCGTCTCTACTCACCTCCTCTATCCAAGACCAACGCCATTTATTCTTTATACCTTTATCGACAAGTTTGGTGTCTTCCCCTGGCTTCATAAAATTGCACTCCGTGACTTCGGCTATGTTTCGCACTGCCAGTGTGGGAAACACATTCATAGTGTATGGGAAACACAAAACACATTGGCACGTGGGGTGACTGCTGAATCAATCTGATTGGCCAAAACCCAAGACCACCCCCTACCCTATTACCGATTGGCTTAAGTAGGCTATGCCTACTGGTGTGGTTTAGAGTGAAAGCGCGTCTCGGATCTTCGGAATTGTCAGATCACGCGAACGTGAACCTGATTTTTTTTTTTTTTTCGCAAACATCTCGGTACGCCGGAAATCCGGCGTGGCGCCGGAGCGCTATCAGCCCTGTGTATCTGATATGAGAACATATACCAAGTGTAACAGTGATATGTTTTTTTTTAATGAGGCTCTTTTGCACAAGTAAAGACAGGATCAACTATTAATTTCATTCTCCACACATACCAAGAGTTTCTTAGCTCATAACATGTAAAAATAAAAAATAAAAATGTATGGATGAATGAAAATGGCTTGAGTACTAAATCAGTTTAATTCTGTTATATAAAGTTTTGAATATTGTTTTTAAGCTTTAATGAGATGATGTACCAATATTTCTACTACAAAAGAAAATGAAATAAAAATATTTCAATATTTCTGAAAGCTCAGAATCCTTTGATCAGTTACCGCAGAAAGAATTTTGAATTCTGAGAAATATATTAAGTTGTGAAGCCTTTGAGCCTTACAAACACCTCAAGTCAAACATTCTGAGGTCTAGACTGCAGACATATGCAAATGTTGAGGAACTGCCTCACCTATCCATGTAAAGTGCGACTGGGAGTAGTGTAAAAGTGTAAAATCAGTAACAAATTTTGTTTTGCCCTGGCAATTTATAATATAAACTGACCTGAGAAAGAACTCTCCTGCTCCCAGTTTGGAGTTTGGAGTTTCTGCTCTCTGGTGCAGTGATCTCTCCCAGGCTGGTTAGGCTGCTACTGTGGGACTTTTCCATCTCTAACCTCCTGTGGCTACTGGGAGGATGAACAGAGAGCAAGGTGGACTGATTGGAGGCCCTGTGTGAAGGCTGAGTGGACTTGCTGGTCCGCTGTTTGCTGATGCCAACAGCAGATTCCTGATGGTCTGATTCGGCTTTCACTCTGTCAACACAGAAGTACAATTAAGTCCAATAACTGAAATGAGCTTCCCCCAAAAAAAGCTTTCATATGTATGTGTGTTTGTCTTTTGTATGTATTTATGTATGTCCAATTTCTTGTTTTATCAAAAAGTGACTGATATATCAATATTCTTATACCATTAAAGATAACAAAAATTATATTTTAACAGGGAAGAGTTTTCCAGTTCAAGAACAAGCGTTTACTGTGCAGCTGATGAAACTGTCTCTCTGCTTTTTTGATGACTAACCTTTGTGGAAGGCTTTTCTGGACTTCCATGTGTCCAGTTCCTTGACCCCGTCCCTCTGTCTCATCATCCCCAGGCTGCATGTCGCTATGGATTTGGTCAAACATTTTGGGAAAGTCTTTGAAGCTTTGGTAGCTAAACAGAAGGAGGAAAAACATTAAGGATGAAATAATGAAAAGTCCAGGCTGCAGACTGAGCTGCTCGTTTTCCAGATCTACTTCTGACAGTGTGCAAAACAATCAAAAGCATTTTGGTAAGGGTAAGGCCATCTCCTGACATTAATCAAAATCCTTCCATATACAAACATATACTTCCACATGCTGATGGTTACATGGTCACTCTTCACATGTTCAAGTGCTGGGGACCTTTTTTTTCCAAAATCAACATCTTAAAACCACAGACATCAACATCACTCACTGATCCATCAGCGCGTCAAAGTCTTGTTCAACATGTCTGTGTTTGCCTTTCACAGGTTTGAGATACAGAGAACTCAGACTATCTTCATCATCCATATCTGCCTCCTCTTCATCACTTTCTTCTCTGGCTGAGCTCACCTCCACCTCTGCTGCTCTTCCTGCATGTGCCAGCAAAGGCACAGGCGATCTCTGGAAGGAATTGCAGACAGTGAATTGAAGATGTCCTGTTGTTTCATAGCCGGAGTTTATTCTCCATGAACAAACAGAGGTCAAATGATGTGAAATGACCTGACAGATACACAGCTACTGTTTGTTGAGTTGTATTTGTCTTTTTAAAGTCTGGGGAAAAAAATGTTGGAAACACTATGTAGAAGAAAGCATTTTACCATAAAGCTATTATCTTTCAGTGACATAAACTTTACCAATCAGGCAACATGTAAAACCAGATGATTAGTGACCTACATCTCCACATGAATACAGATTATATAATCATTGTAAGTGAAAGGTCCACAAGACTGTAGAAGAGCAAATCCTAAATACTAGGTCCACTGTATCTCACATGATTCCTATCAGGAAAACAAACATGGAGATGTTTTTTTCTACAGGCTTTTCTCTATGGTTGTACATAATAGTAGCAACTGTAGATGTTCTCTCGTATTTCCGTTCAGAATTACCCTGGTACCTGTGGGATGATATGTTTCACACAACTGTACATGCACAGGTACAAAAGTCAAATAGACTTTCTGGACAGTTCAGGGGCACAGCACAGAATAATGGTGGTGGTACCTGTGGCTAAGTCAGAGGCACCATCTCAATGTCCCCCCTAAACCTTAAGGCCTGAACCCTCACAGAATTAATTGACATCACTCATCACATCGCTCATCACATCGCTCAAATAGTGTAAGGAAGAATGGGTAAGCACTTATATCATGTTACCTTGATGATGCCAAAACATTTGCATTCAAATTGTGGGTTTGGGACTTTTGATTGTACATGTTAATATTCGGAATTCATCATCGTCAGTTCAGGCACTGAATCACCAGTGAGCTCTTTTTTCTTATAATTCTAACATTACGGATTGTTCCTTTCATGCTTGTTTGTCGTTCTTTTATGTTAATTTTTCTTGTGTTTTATGGCCAGTTTTTTTTTTTTCATACTTCCGGGCGTCTCCTGATAATCATGGCAACCCCTTGTTTAATGTCACAACGTAATGAACTTTGGGTTATTCCCTCAGGCAAAGTCTGCAGAAATGCAGACTTACGGAAAGTGTGCATAAAGGGCTCAGAATGTCTGCTGGAGGGCCCTCATGCCCCCGATGGTTTGACAGTGGGACAGCCCTAAGCTTTCACGAACTTACCGGGAACACGCCTCCAAGGCTGTGAGTCTGTGAGGGTGGACATTGGGATTGGACCAGAGTTTCTCCCCCCTCAGAGGTAACAGATAAAGGCGAGGGTTGAGGAGGTGGAGAGGGAGGAGCCTCACAGGTGGGCTGCTCCTGTTGCATCTGTTCCACCTGCTCCTTCAGCTCATCCATATGCAGTCCACACTGGTAGATGAGCCCCTCCAGCTCCCTGATACAAACCCATAGATGCACAAACACGCAGACAAATATAATGCAAACAATAAAATCAACTGATGAATATATGCCGTATTTATCTTTGACATAACTCTCACCGTTCAGGGTCAAAGTGACTGATTTCTGCCCCTCGCTGCTGCAGGAGTTTGAGCTCATCCCTCGCCAAGAGGTAGCCCCTCTCTAAAGAGTTGAGCCCCTCAGCAAGCTGCGAGAGACCCTGAAGGACAGCATTAGTTTGGATATGAGGTGGCAATTAGAAGTAATTCTTCTAAAGGATTACAGACTTAAACTGTTTGTTGTTCTCACCTTCATCTGTTCAAAAGGTTTGAGTTTTCCTCTCTTTAGGAGATCCTCAAAAGTGTGCATCTGAATGAAAAACAACAAAACCTTGATCTTTGTTTACTTTACTTAATCACATCGTCCAACAAATCTGTAAAGATTTTCATCCCTGTTGATACTTTTAATATCTCAGTTACCTGCTGGAGGAACTTGTCAGCCTGATTGTAGAGAGTCTTCGCCAGCTGTTGTCCCACCTGGAGGACTGTTCATTTGACAGGCAGGTGCAGCAGAAAGAAGAGTTATATGATGCAAGTTGTACAGAATGATGCGATGTTAGCAGCAGCTGAATGATAGATGAAAGCTAGGTTTGCATATTGATGAAAATTTTCTGTGACAGTATTTAATGGAAGAGAGAAGAGCAGTGTGACTCAGATGGCTGAGGAAAGCTAATTCATTGATTTACATAATATAAGATGTGACATATAAAATGATGAATTTGACAGCAAAGACGCAGATGTTGAGATATTGAATAGGATGAACGTACTCTGATGGGCACTGTGTCCGTTTGGAGAGGGAGAAGCTGAGTTGATCTCTGCTCTCTGAGCCTGAGCAAAGTCCAAGGTCATGACATTTGAAACGTTGTGGCTCAGTCCTGACTGTACCAAGTGGCCGGGCTTTGGTGGCTCAGAGTACAGGTTCACCTGGAGGAAATGTAAGAACATGCCATAACATATCATCATCTATGTCATCTAGAATCACAAGTCCACCTGCTTATGGTTGAACTTCTAAATTTGGTGATATTTGGTGCAACTTTTTCCTTTCCACCAGAACAATGACATCAGTGACCTTACCGTCTACTGTCACATTTCAGACTTAATCATTTCTGGATCACCGATTAGACTCATTTCATATTCTAGAAATGAGTATAGCCTGCGCAAAAGCATATTTGACTAGAAAACATGTTTATTATTATTTTGTGGAATAGCTGTTTGTCTAAATAAACGATTCATAAAAAGAGAAATCTATCAAATTCCCAAGACACTTGATTTACTGCAACATACAGATTTAGCAGAGATGGATAACATCCCCACGGAGTGTCCTAAAGTCGTATGTTTTCACTTTGTCTTTCTTGGCTTTAATGTTAATGAAGCACCAAGTTGTGGAGCCACAACATCAAACAGCTGTTCAGTTCAACACAGGAGGCCACTGAGGTTATTTCAATGCAGAAAAGACAAACTGAGTTTGACCTAGACTGTATGATAAAGGGGTTAAGCACAGAGTGGTCACCACCCCCCCACCCCCCTGATAACACACACAGAATTAATGAATACAAGACTGAATAGACGCCCTTCCCGATCAGCCTTTGAAACAGTAAATCATAATGGCCTTAAACTGACCTCAGTCCACTTAAACACATGCACACGCATAGACACGCACACACAAAGGGCGGAACAGACATCAAAGCTTGAGCTGTATTTCACCCAGTTAGCCACTTAGGCAGCTTTTGTTTTGTTTTTTTCCTACTATTATTTTTAGGTTGTTTCCAATTTTCTACATAGTAAAGAGGCAAGAACCTGAGAAAATGGGTCAGAAAGATGGAATGAACTAAATTAAGATCATAAATGAGACTAGTACCCATCACGTCTCTAATAAACTGCATGCACACTGAGCCACAAAAAGAATATGACAGACTGGAGATAAAACCTACAGCAATTTATTTCTCATTAGAGAGACTAAAATATTTTCTTGGGTCATTTTAGAAGATTTTAATCTAAAACATCAAGAAAATGATTTGAGCTTGTATTAAAATTATGATATACCTTGATTCAAGCCTAAAAAGATAATGCACTGAATCTGAGGCAGTGCGAGTAAATGATGTTGCTGCATTTCATGTTGTTTGAGATTATTCAGGGCCCACAACATTAAATAGAAGAAAACATTAACATTAAAAAAAGGAAAACCTCTTCTTTTGAAAATAATCTGACAGTAGATTTCAGTGTAGGGCCACTCCCTCCTCCCTGTCTGTTTGAGGCTCGAGGTGGAGACAGATGGAGGTTCAGTGTTGTCAAGAGGTGGGGGAATCAGTAAGCTGAATTTAATTGGTGCTGATTGTGGAGCATTGCGGCTCAAACAGAAGCGGGCCAATAATTCTTTAAAGGAGCTACTTCATAACACTTCAACCTCTCCCTCTCTTCTTCCTTCATTTCTTTCTCAGAGACTTCTAATAATTTGTTCTGACATACTGCTCTGTCTGTGATGTGCTGATGCTGACTGGACCCAGGCTGTTGGTTCTCTATACATCTGTCCTGTAAAAATAAAGTTAAAGCAATGGTATTTCCATATAAATAAATATTTAATTATAAATCTGAAATGATCTGTGAATATATTTTATAACCCTTCCCTTCTCAACAGCTTTTGATTTGATTCTTTTTGCACTCATTTTTAACCATTTAATTATTTGAATTTGGCTCAATTTGTCTTATTACCTCTGCTACAGAGGTTATGTTTTCACCCATGTCTGTTGGTTTCTTTGCTTGATTGTCACCAGGATTATACAAAAAGTACTAAACAGATTTACCCGAAACCAGTGACTGCCATTGGGTTAAACCCAATAAATTTTGGTGCGGTTTGGATCCATTAAATTCTGGGCCATATCCAGGAAATTTTTTATCACTTTTTTCACTAATGTATGGATCTTGATGTTGATGAAAAAATCTGACATATTAATGGTGTTGAGATCTATGACTTTGTACAATTTGGTGCAGATCCAGATAATATTCTTGATCTCACAGACATGTGTAGGATTGTTTGGCCTTGGCAGGGTGTGCACTCTACTGAGTGTCATTCTAGTTTTGGCTTTTGTTGCACAGCATGAATTGATTTATAGCATACAAATTATTATTATTATTACTATTTATGTCTTGATGCTAGAATCCCTTTAGTAAGAAAATCATACCTGCCTTTTGTTCATTGCATCTTAACACTACACATAACAACACCACAACAATACAAACACAACAATGACCAAAACTGAATGACAGGATCTATGCGCCATTTAAAACCCCCAAAATGAAGGAAACTCAATAACAGTTTGTCTTTTCGATCGGTGAATAATGTTTGCGCTGCAGATAAATGACAAATCAATCTTAAATCTCCATTTAAAATTGAACATTAAAACTCACAAAGCAGAGCTAAAATAGCACTGACCACAAGCAGAAACACGCAGAAAGGGGCGGCTGTCATTGGCTGAGTTCTGAGTTCTACAAGAGAATCTGCTTACAGATTGGTGTTTTGTTTTTTTTGGGTGTGGTTTTTGACCTCAAATATGACTGTACAGACTATAGAAGAGACCATAGTCCTCCTCACAGAATCTTTTTGCTCTTGTTTTTTTGTGCAGCCAGTGTTTGCATATAAAACAATAGCTTCAGTATGTATGATACCCCATACCATAAAATGGACTGTTATATCTTATTATATATACAATTTAATCTTATATTATTATTCAAACTGGCATTTCTGGCATTAAAAATTGGTTTTCACTGTTGCTGTTCAGTGCTGTTCCTTCATTGAATCAAAGTGCCAATAATGATTGTAGTAGTGCTGTAATGAATGCAAAGTCTCAGTTCCTAAAATTAAATAAATAACTGAACAAAAATGCACATATTTGAAGAAAATAACTGTCCATCATTTTAAGGCTTTTTCATAACTTGGAGGTGTTATAATGACTGAAAACTGAGACCAAAAATAAATCTGTTATGGCACTGGTATGTATTTTTTTTTTGTTTTTTTTTTAAATGCCGATCCGCTGCACACCTACAGTGATAAATTATTGCCTGATCTCAAAATCAACTACCTTAGCTTCCAGCCGCAGACGATCAATGGTGTTCTCTGCTTCAGCGTACTTAGTCAGCAGTCTGTTGTAGTCCTCCTGCAGCAAGAGGAGAAAAAGAGGAAATAGAAAGTAAGGGGAAGGGAGGAGAATGAAAAAGACAGCGAAAAGGAAGCATGTGAAGAAAGAAAAAAAAAAACAAAAAACAGATGAATGAAAAAGAAAGGGAAGAGACCAAGGTTGGGTAAAAACGGGGGAGGCAAGGGCAATGACAGAGAGAATGGAACATGGTTTAGATACTGTTAGGTCCGATTCATACGTCTGGAAAAGTAGAGTAATTCACAGGTATCTGGACACTTCTATGAACTTTAGGTGTGTAGTTATTTTTCATGGTTTGGGCCTCTTAGTTCCAGAGAAGTGAAATCTTAATTTTATACAACATCGTTCTTCAATGTGAAGTACATTTACAAAAGGTCACCTTCTGAAGTTAGGCATCCTGGATGGGTAATTTATACATTACTGCTATACTGCAGTACTGAGTGAGAAGAAAGTAATTTGTGTTTCAAGGTCAATGAGCTGCAGACCTGATTTTGCTTCCCACTTTCAATCAGGATCTCTGTTGTATAAACATTAGTCTGAAGTCCAAGCTTTGTAATTACCTCGATGCAGTACACTGATGAACAATAAAGTGTAAGAACGGAATACTGAACATGGGCCAAACCTAGCTAAAAAAGTCTCTACACCATACAAGATTTCAACACAAAGGAAATTCAATGGAATCTTGTTACCATAGTTACTGCTTCTGGCTGATGACATTTCTATGAAAACAGGCACCAGAATGAAGAAGGTCTAATCTTCTTTTTGGTACAACACAGAATCTCTTCAGTACACAATACTAAACAAACTTCTGAAGTTTCATTTAACTTTAACTGTGCCTTCCCTGTTTGGCACACACTGTAGTGTCTAGTTGTTTGACTTCAGCGTTGCTACAGAAACAGGGAGGATGTAAAGTGGGACAGCTGGTGTACTGCTGCCTCTGGGAACAACTGAGGATGGCAGTAAAGTGGCTGCAAGCTGCAAGATGCAAGCGCTACTTTGTTTTTGACGTTTTTGAGGGCTAAATTTCAAACTTCCAAAATGAAATGAAAGATGAAATTTATTTCAGAAAATGTTCTTTAGGACATATTAGGAAATACCTTTCAGGTTTTTTGGGATCTTGTTTTATTCTGTATCATCAGTCTTTATGAAAACTTGATTCTTTTCTAAAGGTGAGATGCAGGTGAGATTTGTCACTGTGTTGTCCTGGCTGCCATTTCACCTTGAGCTGGTCCCCAGACAATAAGTGGAAGGATAAACATTTATGGTCAAATGTGTTTCTGCTCTATAAACAATCAAATAAGAGCTAATATGTCTAATTAGTGGTTTATCAGAATTGTAGCTCTGAGCCTGTGCTATCATCATCAGAGGAAGGCCTGCACTAGGGCAAAGACATTGAAGCCTTCAAATGCCAACCCTGATAGCGTATCATTTCCTTGTTTGTAAATCCCCATTATGGCTTATTCCAAGCCTGATAAACCAGTTCATTATTTTTAAGATTACTTCAACGCTAAGAAGGCTAATTTTGAAAACAGTGTTTTATGCATGAAAAAATCCTGCAGGCTAGTATTTTTGTGTTATTTTTGTAAAAATCTCATCCACATTGAAACCCCTCCCACCTCTCAGTCTCTAGCAGTACCTGTAGCTGTTCAAGCAGTGTGGTGGCCTGCTGCCGGCATCTGAACTCTTGAGGCACAGTGGAGTTGGGGGCACTGACTGGTGGTCTGTTAGAGTCTGATGGGGGACATCCATCAGTGGTGTTCAGCAGTACTTCTTTCACAATGTCAGCAGGAGACTTGAACACTATGGGGGGCTCAGGGGACAGGGATTCCCTCTTGGGAGAGCGTCTGCTCTTGGGAGGCTTGTAACCACCTTTGGGGAAATGGACCCTGGGCTCCACCTGAGAGAAGTCTGGTGTGCGGTAACTCAGAGGCCCGTTTCTGGAAATACAACAAAATTCATGGGGAAAGCTTTTTATGAAATGACTACAATCATGATGTATGAAAACTGAAAAAAGCAAGGATAGATGAGAAAGCCACAACATGAGCAGAGGTCAAAACAAGTGGCTAAGGGAATGTTCCTCACCTGGATTCATTCACTTCAGCAGCTTTAGTCCTGGCACTGGGTATCATCAGCTCTCTGTCTGGATGCTGTCTGGATTTTATGGAGTCTGCCCTGACGGTGCTGAGGGAACGATTCCTTGAATGTGAAGCTTTAGAAGAGGGCTGACTCATTTTCCTCTTTGAGTGATTGGACTGCTTATCTGACTTTACTGATCCCTTTAAAGGCCCTTTACAGACTCCACTATAACAATTTGCCATCACTTGTTCAGGGAGGACAGCTGCTGTCTGAAGTCCCTTCGGCTCCTGCTTTTCAGATTTTCGAGGACGAGGACTGGGCGTGAGGCTCATGTGGCTGCTGTGTGACTCTGGATAACTTTCTATGAAGCCCATCTCTGGAAAGGTTTCAGCTTCAATCCCTGGAGCAGCAGCTATTTCTTCAGCAGTGAAGTGGAGAAGGTGAGGGAAAGTGGTGGCTGTGACAGCTGAGGCAGGCTGGGATACTGGGCAGTGATGGTTGGAGACTTCAGCAAGTTTTACCACTGACAACTGAGCGACACAGGATTGTGCTCTGATCTTCTCAACCTCGTCTTTGTTAATAGAGCTCCCAGCCAAGCCTTTTGTAGCTCCAAGCTCTCCTAATGTGCTACTTTGTTCACATTTCTTTCTCTTGCTGTCACACCTCTTCATCCCTTTCTCCTCCTCTGTCATGTCCAGGTATGTGTCCCTGTTAGATAGGTGCTCTTCCTTTCTCTGCCTCACCTCCTCACCCTCTGTCTGTGCTTTTAAGCTACTCATCATGCCATCACCTGCCAAAGACAAAAACGTATGAAGAAATGGGAAGAAAATTTAGAAGGATACAACATACAGCCATGAGTTGTCTCACACAACCATACTAGTTTGCATTTTTATGAAACATTTTCCAAATCATCCTGTATAATTGATTTTGTGAGTCATATTTCATGCTGCTCCAGCCAGGAATAAGATTTCCACTCAGTTCCATAGAGCATGAAAATCAATTCCCAAATCTCTTGAAACTATATTAGTTTCATAATGCACTACAGTGATATTATCATTGTATCGTAGTGCAGGTTCATTTGTAAATTAGGCAAAAAAAGTTAGAGTCCTTTTTTGTTTTTTGTCTTTATACTCATTATCCAAGAAATCTGAGAAATGTTGTTTCTGTTTACCAAGTATCTTTCTTTTTCATATGTGCTGTATGTGAATATTTATATTGCAATGATGCGTTGATGCTTTCTTCTGTCTCTGCTCTGTCAAACTGTAACTGCAAACAGAAATACAATGAAAATACAATACAACACTGAAATGACAAAAACTGCACAGCATTATCTCTTAATCTAAACACAAAAGTGGACTTGTTGGTCATTGTGATCCATTACAGTTGAGACTATTAATTGGTTGAATGATTTGTCAATTGACAGAAAAAGCACAGAATAAATAACTTAATATAAATATAAATAAAGTATTTTTCTAATCAATTATTCATTTAAAAAATCTTTCACACAACTGACAAATACTCTGTCCTAACTTCTCAGTTGTCAGGATTTTTTGTTTTTCTCTGTCTTCAGGTTTTAGAGTAGTTGACCAAAAGCAGTAAATTGTGGTGAGCATTTTTCACTGTTTTCAGATGTTTTAGATTTTCTCAAACAATTAATTGAGCAGATATTTGGCTTATTAGTTGATAATGAAAGCAACTGTTAGTTGCAGCCTTTGATTGTAAAACCCAAGTAGGTTTCAAGAATATGCTAATAGTCGATACGATTTTCACATTGTACAAATATGAATGGAAACCAATAGCTGCCTGGGTCAGTGGAGAAAATATATTGAAATTGCTGAGACATAACGTCCTAGTTTTCAAAATGGTCAGCTGTGGTGTAAAGTATAAGACAACAGACTAAAAGACATAAAACTGGTGGTATGGTCCTCCAAGTGCAGTAGTACAGGAACTATAAAATTAAAAGTTGCAACAAAAAAAACAAAACAAGCAAGGTTAAAGAAAAGATAGATAATCAAAGACTCACAGGGTGACAATATTTGTACATCCTCTCCTGCTGCTTCAGTCAAGGACAGATGTTCACTCAGGGTGTAATTCCACTCCCCAGGTGGTGTGTCCCCCTCATGCCCACTAGCGTCAGCCTCCTCTGGGGTGAGAGGTCTAGAATAGCAGGTTGGATTATATTCTGCATCCGCATCACCACAAGTTTTCCCCAACTCCACATTGTCCAGTGCCTCCGACAGTCCAATGATGCCATTGTCATCCATCTGGCTGCCAAAGTCATCCTCGTTCCCTGCCTGTTCTTCATCCTCATCCTCCCACTCGTCCTCAGATATTACAGAGCTGGTGGATGAAGTGTGGGCAGGGGCAGGAGTCCAGAACAGAATGCCTGCTTTGGTGTTTTTTTTAATCTCCATTCACCTTTGAGCCAACTGTTACCTCTCTCTCACCTCAGTTACTGTCTCAGCCAGGCACAGGAACTGTCTGCCTCTTTTCTTGTTGATCTTGGTCTTGAGTGAGGTCCACTTTCAAAGCCATGGCTACAGAGGTTTACAAATTCCAGGGCATGTCAGTAAGCTGGTGACACTGGAGAGGTACAGCTAAGGAAGACTCATCTGTCTGTCTTCAGTCTCGAGGAAGAAGAGATCTCTGATTTTCTTTGATGCAGTTCCTGAATCAAAAAAACAGTGCCAGTTATTTAGTATCAATAACCATTTAAAGAATCAAAATGTCAAACAGAGGTTGACACAGGAAATCAGACAAACGAAAGACAAACAAATGCACAAGGACTAGTTAATAAAAAGAAAATACCTATAATTTATAATGAAATATAACATAATCCAACAGATAATCACAATATTGTTTTTCATTGTAACTCTCGAAGGTGATAAAGTCAATGTTATTTACATATTTATCTTGCATTTTTTATTGATACATCTGTGCAGTGCTGTGATACTATACACTAAATCCTGAAATGATTGGTCAGTTAATCAGTCAACTAATCAAAAAGTCAACATGTTTGGATTTTTCAACAATTAGTCAGACAAAGCAAGAAATCTGAAGCCATTACCTTGGACTCAACACATTTCATTGGCCTTTTTTTTTCTCTTTTAAGATCAAATGACTTATCAATTAATCAGGAAAATAATCACCACATTAACTGATAATGAAAATTATCATCGGTTGCAGGCCTACAACAGAGAGTAGAACATTTATTGCATTCCTGCAAACCAAAATCTCAATCTTCGACACAGCTTCTTTTTAAAAGTCAAAGATAACAGCAGCCTTGTGGTTAAGACTGTGTTCTCATACCAAAAAAGAACCAAACTTTAATGAAGTGATTTAAGAGCAGGGGAATTCATCAGTCTGTCCTCCTACAGCTGCTCTCTTCTGTAAACAAACATCTACACTCCATATATCAGTTTTTAACTGTGTCCCACTGCACACTCTGCATCACTCATAAATATTGTGAGTATTATTCTCTTACAGGAGGAAGTGTTGCCGTGTGAAGCAGGCAATAAATACAATTAGATGCTATAATATGAAAAAGCAATCATTTCAAAAACTAAATGCCATTCATAGCAATAAAACTACAAAAATATTTATTTAATATTTGTCATCTTGTAGTTATAAAAATCCAAAATAATTCACACAATATCACTTTAGTGCTTTAAATTTTCAAGACAGATTGAAGTCTAGGCTTCTAAAAGCATTTAGGTCAGCTGTGTCCTTTAAGCATTCAATTGGCTTCCATCACATTTACAGACAAGTATTCACTGATGTTATTGGCTGATGAAGTCCAATAGCAGATAATGTTTTTGACAGATACTACTGTCAGTGCATTTCATCTGTCTGTCAAAGGTGTCATTGAAAATCCATAAGCATTTGTAATTTTTGCAAACGAATATGACAGGTGTCAACACAGAGCTGAAGAAGTGCATAAGGTGGACTGAGCAGCAGCTACTGTATACTGATACAAAACACTTTCACTGGAAATTGTTTAACTTGTGCTGATAGATACAGTGGGGCAAAAAAGTATTTAGTCAGCCACCAATTGTGCAAGTTCTCCCACTTAAAAAGATGAGAGGCCTCTAAGTTTCATCATAGGGATTCCTCAACTATGAGAGACAAAATGAGAAAAAAAAAAAATCCGGAAAAATCACATTGTCTGATTTTTAAAGAATTTATTTGCAAATTATGGTGGAAAATAAGTATTTGGTCAATAACAAAAGTTCATCTCAATACTTTGTTATGTACCCTTTGTTGGCAATGACAGAGGTCAAACGTTTTCTGTAAGTCTTCACAAGGTTTTCACACACTGTTGCTGGTATTTTGGCCCATTCCTCCATGCAGATCTCCTCTAGAGCAGTGATGTTCTGGGGCTGTCGCTGGGCAACACGGACTTTCAACTCCCTCCAAAGATTTTCTATGGGGTTGAGATCTGGAGACTGGCTAGGCCACTCCAGGACCTTGAAATGCTTCTTACGAAGCCACTCCTTCGTTGCCCGGGCGGTGTGTTTGGGATCATTGTCATGCTGAAAGACCCAGCCACGTTTCATCTTCAATGTCCTTGCTGATGGAAGGAGGTTTTCACTCAAAAT